ATACTCTTAATCTTTTTTTTTTTTTTTTTGCTTTTGTCTTTTACAGGCTTATGTCACAACTTATGGCGCTTAAACTGCCAATGATATAATATACAAATAAATATATCAGATTTTATACTTCAGTTCTATTTATGTTCATGGCTCATGGCTTGGTCACACCAACTTATGGTGTGACTAACCTCTGTCTGTGTCCCCCTCATAAATAAACATAGAACTAGACATACACACTTAAAATGTGCCCAACTTTGTTCATCAACAAAAGAAACAAGGATTATGAGTACCCAACTTATGAGTTTCATCCTCCATTCAGAAACCCCACGAAAAAATGCGCGACTGGACTGTCCAACTTATGGAGCATCCTAACCTATGAAAATCAAGCAAACAACCCAATGTACAAAAAGAAACATAACACCGAACTCACGCACTTAGAATGGACTTAGCCTCTGGTTAACCCAGTTAGACACAAGCAAAACCAACCTTCCTCTCGCCTTCCCCCATCTGTCTGAATTCACACAAATAGTTTGTACTTTTACACATACTTCAATGATTTTTCCTCGTATTAAATCCTGAAAATAAAAATAGAAAGTAAATTAATAGCATTTTCAGGCATATTTTAAACAGAGTAGACGGTAGTATAGCTAGGGGAAGGGATCACACGTGTACGGCGGTTATACTTGTATGTTCCCTGCCTCTGGAACCCTGGATGGGCTCCGGCAGAGCTCCCGCAATCTGTGCGTTGACCTCCCACAAGGTCTGGCTGCGGCTTGTGGGTTTCCAATCCTGCCTGCCACCTTCCCTCTCCGAACCAATCAGACTATAGGAAGAAGTAGGGGTATCAGATTCTCAAGATACAAGGGGGAGTCAACTCATACTCGTGCGAGAGGGCGGTGCAATCTTCAATCGCTTGAGGGTCCCGCAATGGTGGTAAAAAATGCAGTGGAAATGATCAGATCACGGCCAGAATGCAGACTACCAGCCCCCTGACAGACCTCCAAGTCGTAACAGTGACCCCCTTGATAGAACCGCCGCTACGTAGCCTAGAAAGGCCACGTTTGAATAGAGCACACCCCTTGCTCAATTCGAATGCAGTGCAAGACATAGAGGGTAGACCTCAATATTTCGTTGTGATTGTAGCAACAACCCCCTCAAAAGTACCAGGGGGACAGTGTTTTTTTTTTCTTTAAGCCCTTGGTGTTGTAGAGGCCAAGGACCAGAACCGCGGTGATTGTTGGTAGCAGCAGCCAATGGTTGTCCTGACAGTATAGGCCACCTACCCTACCCATCCCCACGTTAATACTCCCAGCGCATACCCTGTCCCTACTATCCTACCTCAGTGTGACCAGCACTCAGGACCATCACCCTACCAGTATCGAGGGCAACTTGGACCAGACAGTAGTGACAAGCACATGTTTGGATCAATAATGAAAAAGTTGGCATTTTGTTGATTTCGTTGGACGCTTTATTTTGACTCGGACAGTGTYTTTGTGTTAGGGTTTCATAGTGTTTTTTTGTTTTTTTTTTCGTTTTTTTTGGCCTGTTTCCTTTTTGGATGTTTGCATTATGGTCTCATATCGTTTGTTTTTAATTTTTTTGATGAAATTTGCACCGCAATTGCCAACGAAAATGGCAAATATTTGGGCCCCCGTTAACCGTCTCTCACCGTCCCTCCCCTAGCCTACCCAAGGCTAGGCGGAACTCAGACTTGCTGGAGCGACTTATATCCCTACCGTACCCTAGAGCTACATGCGTGAGTAGACTTCGTCACACACCTGATAGACCCCCCCAGCCCAGTATTGTAGTTGTGTGTATGTGTGTGTGCCCAGAGGCTATGCATGTTTGTATGAGCCCATAGGGCCATGTGTTTTGTATCTGCCCGAAGGCCATGTGTGCTCTGTGTAACTATATAGCGAGATGTATGTGCCCGAAGGCCAGATATGTGCAGTACTATTTTGAGGGAACTATGTGTTCGTTTGAAGAGATGACAGGCCAAGCTGGACAAGAAACCACCCCAAAGTCCCAAGCCAGACGCGAACCCGTGATCTATGACATGTGACTTGAAGACTCTACCATTTGAGCAACAATTGCAAACGACCCTTGTGTGTGATATGCCAGAATGGGGAGATCAACAGAACAACCACGAGCAACAGCCAAAAGCAAGCCACGCAGTATCAAGACCCGACATACAACACCATGGACAACCTTTGGCTGGTGTGCAGGCAGTGTCTGTGTAAGCTTACCGTGCATCAGCCGAAGGGAATGTGTGTCCAGCCGTGCGTCATTCTAACGCCCTGCCGGTGTCCATGCGCAAGGCTAACCACAAAACTACAACAACTGGACAATTAGGGGACATAGTAATTTAGGCAAGCTGCAGTACTAGCAGTCCAATTGAGTGACACTCCCCTACTAACCCGAAGTACAATAGTTAACGAACAGAAAATAATCCAAAGCAATGACACAATTGATACACAGCGAGTCGGTGTGGCACGTAACAGTTTCTGTTTTAAAACCAACTGCGTTGTTCACAACAATCTGGTGACCAGCAACCAGTGGTCAAAGAGTCCGATAGAAGTTCCCCAAAGCACAACAACAACAACCAGTGTCAACCAGCATCTGCCTCAGTTTCAAGCAACTGGTGACTCAGTCAAGGAAAAGAAACAACAACAACAGTTGTAACAGGGTGTACCACACTACAGTAGCAGCAATCAGCGGCCTCTTGTGACCGCCAGTGAACATCAACTCAGTTGAAAGAAAGCACTGCAGTTCACAACTTAGCAGCAGTACTTATCGGCAGGCTGCTGAAGTGGAAGTTCTCTGGTTGTCTCAATGGACGAGCAGCACTTCGAGATTCGGCGACCTCCACAATGCGGCAGTGCTCTCCCTAAGCACAACACCAGTACCTGAATACGCATCAGTTCGGGTCCACAAAAGCATCAAACTGAGTTAAACTAGTAGTCACTTCTATTCATGAGTACTATGCAGTATCCAAATCACCGAATTCCTCTCGGTGGTAGAGCGGTGAACCTTGAGCAATGGCAATACTGATAGTTCAGCCGGATAAATCTCTGCCAGCCATAATTCATACTTAAACTTTATGCGGTAGATGGCGTTCTAACGAACTGGACACCCAAACTATGCTCAGAATCACCTTCAGTCATCAGATCCTATCAGTATTCGAACTCAGGTCTGCACCTTTACAGTTTGTAGGACAGCTGATCTGTACACCCAACGTTCAACTTCGGCAGGTTTGATCAGGTCCTAGTGTTGTCATCAACGGACCTCTGATAGTGAGCGCGAAACATGAAGCGAAATCAGCGGATAGCACGATTTGCATGATCAGAACAACCACCAAAAGGTGGAGCAAGGATCTCGACGGTGTGACGCCACTGGTGTCAGCTACTTTCCTACCAAGCACGAGCTTACTAGCCCACACAATGTTGAGCAACAAAATCCGATGTCCACAACGATGAGCATTACAGGAAACGCGATGGCCACCATAAGGGCGTGTGCGCCTGCCGCCACGATCAAGCTTGAGCAGCAACTCGATGGTCACGAGCAGCAACACAAAAGTCCAGGCTTGGGAACCACCGAACTACAAAAGTCCAGCGCCAGCAAAGCGTCAGCACAATTTCCGTTCGAGCTCACTGGGCAAGCACTGTTGAGGTCTTGTGCTACCAAGCTTCGAGTGAAGTTGAGAGGCAGTCGAGTAGAGTAGTCAATGGCGCCGGCACCATGGTTGTAGCTTGAGTGAGAGCTGTCTCTTATACACATCTAGATGTGTATAAGAGACAGGCACTGTTGAGGTCTTGTGCTACCAAGCTTCGAGTGAAGTTGAGAGGCAGTCGAGTAGAGTAGTCAATGGCGCCGGCACCATGGTTGTAGCTTGAGTGAGAGAGAGAGAGATCCAAGAGAGAGGACATTCACAGACACACACACACACACACACAGATAAAGAGAGAGAGAGAGAGAGAGAGAGAGAGAGAGAGAGAGAGAGAGAGAGAGAGAGAGAGAGAGAGAGAGAGAGAGAGAGTACTTGGTTGTTGTTATCGAACGGCGGCTATACTACATGCATCCTGGTGTAGATGACTTCGATTCCAGACATCTTTCGGAGTTCTCATCTCGTGTGTGCTGGTTTCATCTCGTGTGTGAGTTTGTTGTGAAATCGTTTGCAGTGGATGCTGTATGATTCGTGGGCTCGTGGGCATGCTTGCGGGAGAGAAGCAATCGGACCGGAGCCTGGCAGAATAGAAGAGGCTGAATATAAAAGACAAGAAAAGAAACGCAGTGGTATCAGCAAGATCAATCCTTTGCTGGCACCCTACAGACTAAAAACAAGTTTCCCCAGCCCTCCGACTAGTCACAATTTCCAGTTTGTGAGCCTCCTCACCCATGCCAGCACTGTAGTGAAGATCTGATCGTCAAGAAATGGCCCTGATTCGTTCTTATGACATTTGCCTTGCTTGGTTTGTCAATTTTATGTACATGCAGCTGTGACTGCAGTTGCTGAAATGCCTCCCCTAGCCGATGATTGGAGTGGAATTCGAATCTGATGTTGAAGAAACGCCCCCGTTTCGTTTTTGCTGATAATACTGTAATTGCTTTGACACCTCTTCATTTTGCCTTATTTGCTCTCTCATACCTCGGAAATTTTTATCACCTTGCTGCAACGCCTCCATTCCATTGGCAGGAATGCTTCCCTTGGTCCATAGGCCTGAATTTGACATTTGCATAGTTTGCGGCAGGAGAGTGGGAATGCACTTCAGCTTCAAGCCCTCAAACATCGTGTTACATTCTTTTTTTTTTTTTTTTTTTTTTTTTTTTTTTTTTTCTGTAATAGAGGGCCCAGCGCCCAAGGCTGATATTACCAATAAGAGGAATGAGGCGGGGGTACATTCTGTTCGTCCTCACTCCTCTTCACCACGACTTTTGGATTGGCTGAGCTGTCGTTAGGTTTTCTCATCTTCCTCCTCACGTTCATCTTTCATTGTCGTGTTGCATGGCAGGCATGCACATTGAACGTCATTCCTCATTGCAAGCCACTGCCGCAACTGGTTTCCAAGGAAGTGCCATTCAATGGTCAATCCACCACAGCGCTTCGCTCAGGAACAAAGACAGGACTGGCATTGGACACAGGGCAGCCTCTACTTCAGGCAATGGTGGATGAAGAAGTCGCTGCATTGTCATCTTTGGCAGATTCCGCTCCTTTACAAGGAAAAGGACGAGGAAGGGGGGGGTACGCAAGGGGCTCGTCAAAATCGTCAATCCGCTCGGCTTTGGAGACACCACTACCGGTAGGGAGCACGTCTGCAGCAAAGAGGGATGAGCTTCGGCAGGCATCTTCCCATGTGGCTTCTGTGAGTGATTTGCACGGAGCGAATATGTCTCTCTGCCCTACTCGTTTTGTTCCCTCCTCACACTCAGAGACTCACCCTCCTCCTCTGCCTCCTCCGCGGCGTGCTGTCTTCGTATCCGCTTACCAAGAACCCAGACCGTTCTTTAGCAGCACGGGCAGCTCCGTGCGGACAAAAGCTTGGGGATCGGTGCAAGCATTCCAGCAGCCGGAATCCGATGCCGGCGGTCGACGGGTGCTCATATCGCCGATGTCGTTGATGAGCGCCTTTCCCGAGATCATGGCATTGTCCCAGCCATCTCAGAGGAGAGAAAAAAAAAAAGAAGCAGACGAAGAAGCAGTGTCTTTCAGGATTGATACCATGGAGAAGACGACGACGATGAACAACAACAGGAGGAAGTCCAACAACAACGACGTTCCTAGTCAAAGCCACCGAGTACCGGAGATGCATCTGCCTCGATCTCTCGCTGCGAGTGGCAAAGCCAGATCCAGATCAGAAAGGAGAAGCTTCAGAATGGTGCCAAATGGCAAACAACAGCAAGGGCATGTGCTAAGGGGCAGTCCGCAATCCATTGCTATGACTACGCTCACACCCACTACATCCTCCACCCATCCTGTGGTGCTGCGAGGTCCTCCCAAATCTCTTCCCACTGCCCTTGAATTCTGGAAAGGCCTCAGTCCTGGAAACGAAACCGGGTCGATTGACACCTCGTCCGCCTCCTCCCCGTTTCCATTTTCGTCCTCCTCTCTGGAGATGCTGGGATCTCTTCCGGAATCAGCGGTACCTGGTGAGTCATCATCCTCCATGACAACGTCATCCTCCGTGACAAAGTTCAGTCTTCCATCTGTGCTGTCATCAAGTAGTGCTTTGCAAAACACGTTACGACGCCGATTACTACTCGAGGTTGAGAACGGATCACAGGAGAGGGCACAGCCAACCGAACGTCCTTCCTCTCCTCGGCGGGACTTGAAGTCGACGTCGGAATCGGAGTCCATGGCCTCCAGCAGCAGGTCACCTCCTGCATCCTCGCCCAATTCCAAAAGCAACAGAACGCGAAGGACAATGCCGCCATCGCGTTCAGCTCCACCGTCCTCTGAGCCCTATTCTGCTGCCCTGTCTTCCTCCAGGTCTGCTGAATTTCCACCTCCATCTGCTTCTCAGTCGCTCTCGACATCTGTTGCTCAGAGCTCCAGATCAGTGCCAGTCTCTCCTCCCCCTTCCAGAAAATCCCTTGCGTCTCCATCTTCACCCAGCACTGGACGTCCATCACCATCTGCTTCTCCGGCTTCGGCGCCATCTGTTGCACGCAGGTCTGCTCCTTCTCCCCCTTCCCGAACATCAGCTCGTCCGCCACCGGCATCTGCTGTTCAACCTCCATCGCCATCTGCCTCTCGACCTTCATCATCCTCTTCTGCTCCCAGATCAGTTGTGCCCCCCTCTTCCCAACGGTCTCTTTCCCCCGCATCTCCTAGCTCTCCCGCGAATAATAATGACTCTCGTCTGGTCGACCCTTCATCATCATCATCATCATCATCATCATCATTACCCCCACCCCCACAGTCATCATCATCACCTTCATCGTCATCTTCGCCATCACTCTCATCATCCCCTTCATCATCTCCTTCATCATCATCATCATCATCATCATCATCATTACCACAACCCCAACTCCCTCCCTCACCCCCACCTTCACCACTATCACCATCTCCCTTATCAACACCTTCATCAACACCTTCATCATCACCCTCATCATCACCTTCATCGTCACTTTCGTCATTATCATCAGCCCCATCTAGTCCTCCCTCCTCAGACGCTTCTTGGGTAGTGATAAGCAGCCTGATTGCCATGTCTTCAACTGACATTGCTGATCCTTATCCACAGGAATCGTTATCACCTGCAGTTGCAATGTCGTCCAGTGTCGAAACCATCTCGTTTCCACATCCCTCTGATTCTGTTCCAAGTTCTGTCAAAGGGGCAGCAAGCGATCGTTTACCTTCCATTTCAGCACAAACACAGGCCATGACATCCTCTTCCTCGCCCACCTCTCTCTCATTAAATAGCTCTCTCCCTTCTCCTGCGCCATCTGACCTTCCTGCCAGCATTCCCTTTCCCTCTCTCGCCCTCCCCACAGTAGCTCCAAACCAGACCGGTTTACAGTCCGTGTTCTTTGGGCAAACGACCCGCAGGGTTGTCTCCAGGAGCTCTGTAGCATTGCCCTCGCACAGACAACCTTCTCCTCTTTTCCTTCTGGCGTATTCCACGAGTATCCTTGGCATGACCTTACTTGTCTTCTGACAAAGAAACGGGAGAAGGAGAGGGGTAGGGGGAGGGAGAGGTGAAAAAGAAGGGGGAAGAGGCGGCACTGGGAGGACGATGCCAGAAATACCATCAAGCTCAAACCTTCCTAAAAGACTGCACGCCACCATGTTTGTTCGTTTTTTCTTTCTCTGCCCTGCATGTGTGTGTGTGTGTGTGTGTGTGTGTGTGTGTGTGTGTGTGTGTGTGTGTGTGTGTGTGTGTGTGTTCTGAACTGTCACCACAACAACCTGTTATGACCTGCAAAATGGCAAGCTGGGAAACCTGCTGTTTTCTGAGCTTTGCGAGTTGCTGAGATTCCCGTATCCTGCTGCGATTTCGAAGTACCTGCGTCTGCATGATGGTTGAGTTTACGTGTGTTTGCCGGACTGCATGATTACTTGGATGTGTGTGTGACCCGCCAGGGTACTTGTGTGCTGGGAAGGCCTACGGGCCTGGTACTTACCTGTGGCCGTGCTTTGTGAGGGTGCAGAGGGGAGCCCCCCCCCCTCTCTCTCCCGGCTCCTGCACACAACCCCCCTCCTCTCGGCTCGGCTGATACCACCCCAGAGACAGGACGGGACGACTGCCCATTGGTAGTGAGCAGAGCACACCCACCCCACCAAGGAGACAAGACCGGAACGCAGAAACGAGAGGTCCCTGACAAGGATGACGAGAGGTCCCTGACAAAGATGCTGAAGCTGATCTCCGGATCGGACTAGGAAGGAGAGCCTCTGGACAAGACAAAGACATCCACCACAAAACAGCCAAGGAGAAATGCACGACGACACATGGAAGGAGAAGCAGATGATAGAATTGGGCATAGGGCAGCAGCTCCCGTTTTCCGTCTGCTCACCTATCCAATATCACCCCCTTTACTCCATGTATACTAGAACCTAATTAGTGCTCTCATGCAGGTAACTAGAGTTAGGCTGTTGAGTACTCCTGCCTGTCAAATTCCCTGTCTTGGTAGGAGAGGTTACAGCCTGCCGTTATTGAGACCATACGTCTGCTCAATCAAACAGGCAATTTTGATGTTCAGGGACGCTGGACCCACTTTCCAGCAGATGATGCTCCCCACCAATAGATGGAGCCTCCCGGAGGTAACTAGTGGTGTCTACTCTTATCAGCACCCCTAACACCTGACGGGGCCGCTTTCTTCAAAAAAACAAAAAGGAAGAAGAAGAAGAAGAAGAAGAAGAAGAAGAAGAAAGAAAATAAGTAGTCTATCACTGTGACGCTGGGCCCGGTTCCCAGCACGTGATGCTCCCCACGAATAGATCGGAGCTTTGTGTTTCAAAAAAAAAAAAAAAAAAAAGGCCATCTCAGTGACTTTATTCGTCGTCTTTTTTCTATTGTTAATTTCAATCTTCCGTTGTAGTGTGCCAACGAGTTTCTTGGCCGGTATTGTGGGTGGTCTTAGCAGGAGAGCCCTACTCTGCAGTAGTGTTCACAAGGAGGGAGGTGAAAGCCACATATGGGATGTGGGCAGATAATCAGGGATGCTCGAGTCTGGGGCTGGGAGAGATGTGCGGACCAGCATCAGATCTCGGCTGGGAGAGATGTACGGACCAGCATCAGATCTCGGCAGTGGCGGATAAGGGCAAGGGATGGTCTGAGGCATTCTTTGGGGGAACTATGCGTTGGCGGGAGCAGGTGGAGAAAGTAGGTCTGTCCTAGGCTGAGACTTATATAGGACAGCTTGTGATCAAGATTGTCCTCGTTGGCGGTGGCAGCAGAGCAACAGGGGGAGAGAGGGGCGGGGAAGGGGAGAGAGGAAGTAACCATCTTCTTACTCATCATCATCTTGTTTGTCATCTTGTTTACTATCGCTCCCCTTGTTTGACATAGTTTTACTACTGGCAAGATGGTAAGTTGGTTGAGAGGGGGAAAGCTCTACTCCACAGGGGCATCACAAGGTGGGAGGTGGACGTCCTATAGGGAGGAAGGGCAGATGCTGGGAGAGATGAATGACATCATATCCCAGCAGGGGCAGATAGGGCAAGGGCTTGACTGAGGCATACGTTGCGGGGAACTGGATGCCTCGGTGGAAGTAGGGGGGGAAGCAGGTATGTCCCTAGTTGGGGCTCAGGAGGATTGTTCGTGATCAGAGGGGTTCTTTTCAGCGGAGACAGCACAGGACCAGAAGGAGAAATAGGTGGAAGGGGGGTCTTTGATTGAATGGATGTACATGTATAAAAAAGAACTGTATGGAAGACAACTTATCTGCATGGTTTTGATATTTTGAAGTGGGCAATTTTCATCCTCATTCTCACCTGATGGATGTTTTGAACAACCAGACTTAATGTAATTGGATTAAAGATTTTTCAGGAAAACGAACCGACCGGCAATAAATTAAGTGAAGAAAGTTGACATGAACCTAGCTTCCATCCCAAGGATTTCCAGTTCTATCCTAAGTGACCCAACTCGTTTGTGTCTGTCCAAATGATTCTCATTTTCTACCTCCTTTGACTTTATTTCGTCTAAGTCACTTTGCGAGGGAGGAAGGGATGCATGATTTTCATTCAAAGTTGGCGACGCATTCCCTCTCTCTGGGAAGCATCTGGGGCGGGGTTTTACTGCTGTCGGAGCCAGCATTGTTACCAACCCCGAGTGGACCGTTCTTACGAGGGGGTACTCTGCCAATTCGGTGGAGATGGCTGGACTTCTTAGATCCCAGTCTTGTGCTCGGGTGAGGAGGAGGAGTACCGCATAGCACTTCCTAGAGGGTTGGGCGCACGACGACTAAGAGCGGACATTGGCTCTCCCAAATAATGAGCAGGAAAGGGCTGATTTAACAACCTTATAGGTGGTCGCCTTAGGTGTCACCGCTAGAAAGGGAAACCGGTGCCTTAAACCACCAGTACTTGGCCCAGCTATCGGCCGTGGAAAAAAATAGGGTAGAAACGTTTATAGTGGGATGAATTTGGGCACTCCTGTAGTAGCCGGTACGTTTCCTAAAATCGGGGCGCGTTAATAGGCACAACTATAGGAAGTACTGGTAGTTTAAGAAGGCCGACCTGATGAAAACGAGGTTTAGAGTGGACGCAAGTAGGCGGCATTGCGTCCATTGCCGTAAAAAAGGTTTGCGCCATAAGCAATACGGACGCTGGGTAGACAAAAGAGAAGAGGCGGCGTCTATGTGTTCGGGTTCAATATATGAATGGAATGGATAACTTTGATTTTGTTCAACTCATCAAGTCAAAACAAGGATATCGTGTCCGAATCGACTAAATTTGATCAATATTACTTTCTACCTCATGATATTTGAATATTTTTGTATTCTAAGTTGTGATGCTGACATGGACACGTGATTGTTACATGACTTTCTCTAGGCTTATATATGTTTTTCGTATCAACTACAAGCGATCTATGTTCAAGTTGTGAAATATTGTGATAATCCAAGTTATTGTGATAGTTCTCTTTTGGATTGTGTCCAAGGGACTAGGATTATTTGCGGGTTTCACGTCTAGTTGAGACCGTCCTAGTTGACCGACGTCGGTTCGTACTTAGGAGATCAACGCCCTAGGAAATGAATGACGCTCGAGTTCAGAGGACGTTCTAACCACGCGTGCCTATACTACAGCAAACGAGCAAACGCCCTCGTCTGACTTACCTATGCGATCGCATGTAAAAAAAAAATCTATGTCGGTCAATAGCTCAGTAGAGATATGCCCCTAAGGGTGGTGATATCCCCTTAGGAGAGGTAAGTTGTGCCTCGCGGGAACCTATCCTGTCGTAGGGGACGGCAAGAGGTACGATTGGCACACCCGGCTAGAATGGTGAGGTGATAACGCAACCGTGTCCGTCCAAGCGGTTCACGAGAACATTTTTGCATTGTCCCCAAGTTTGTCTCTATTATATTATTCAACTTCTGCGTGACATGACCGGGAGGGCTCTTGCCCTTTGCACAAAAAAATTGGTGGGAGTTGATGCGCTCGGCAACGTCAACACGGGGTTTCCCATGCATCTTAGCTTACATCGGGGCTGTTGACATCAAGAAAGGGACGAGGTTACCTCACCCCCTATCTACCAGCGTACAAAAATCATCTATGAAAGGAGCAAGTTCGGAGAGTCCTAAAAATGACTCAAATTTAACAATTTAATACCTCCCTCGGAACGAGTACGGAAAGCCTAGTCAAAAGTGTAATTGTTCCAATTGCAAGGTAGGCAAAAAAAAAAATTCCCTTGCAAGTCTCTAAAGCTTAAAACGGAAGCTTAGTAAACATTTTTCAACAACATACAACAAACGAACAAAAAATATTTATAAATCATACGACCCTTCTCTCACTCAGTCCCTTCATCATTATTGTTTTTGATGAAAAAATATTAAACATGTCAGTGTACCTTATAGGCGAGAAGTCTGTCGAATAACTCGTGAGAAAAGTAAAATTTTGCAAGCTATTTCCTTTAGTATGGATCAATCACACCGCAATGTGCATTTTGCTCCAAAATGAAGATGCCTCATGCCACGTCTGTGAAAGGTACAAAAAGAAACAATCATGATTAGTTCTACATGATGTCCCAAACAATGAGAATAACTTAGTTGTACAAAACTCACATTGAGTTTGTACACGAGACGTCATAAACAACTTGTTTATAACCCCCTGATAACACTCTCATTACATTCTTGATCTGGTGTGTGAAGGTAAAAATAAAGTTTGTATCAGAAAGGTGTGATAGCGCTTAATAGAAAACACTTCCACACACAATTGAAAAATAAAAACAGGAAAAATGAGTTAAATTCGAATAAAGGTGATGACCTTCGAATATGAAATACTCTTCATATCATATTCATAAAACAAGTGACACATATCATTTTTAATCGTTCATGTTTTAACCGTGCTGCCCAAATAGGATCGGAGGGAGAATGGCAAAAACCACTTGACTTCCAATTATCACGAGTGAGCAAGAGGATATCTCTACACATACTTTAATGAACCAACCAAATAATTGTTTAATACCCCGCTTATAAGGTGCGAACATTGTGTTCGGTCCGCACAACTTAATAAATAAACCAAAGAACCATTTGAAATCGGAAAGGAACCATAACAAATTTTGAAAACTGAAGTAGGAACCTCAATCATTTCCTACTAGAATAGCAAATGAAAGAAAAGTCAAATTTTAATAACAGACTAAAGTTAAAATATACGTTTTATGTCCATCTTATTCCCCAATGCCAACTTCACTGAAATTGAGGTCATGTCCACTTCATTATTTTGTCTATCAATTTTTGCAAATGATTACAGTAAGATTCATCAAGTCGGACCTCAACTGTGGTCCGATACATTTTAAAAAATCATATTTACAATATGTTTTAATTAATACGTCTGTGAATTGTTGCAATCAAACATGAGTTTGAATTCATCTTTCATGTTCAGTTGTGTAGCACCTTCTTTCATTATTAGGGGCATGTGATTGCCACTTGTCCAATGCAACGAACAACACAATATAACCAAAAATAAAAATAAAAATAAAAATAAAAATAAAAACAGTAGAAGACCAAATGACCCATTATGTCTCATTTGACTCAAAGTCAGTTGTT